GGAGGAGAGAGGAAAGGAGAGGGAGAGAGGGAAAAGGGAGAGGAAGAGGAGAGAGAGAGAGAGAGAGAGAGAGGGAGAGAGAGAAGAGAGAGGAGAGAAGAGGAGGAGAGAGAGAAGAGGGAGAGAGAGGAGAGAGGAGAGAGAGAGAGTGAGAGAGAGGAAGAGAAGGGACAAAAGAGAGAAGAGGGAGAGAGAACAAAAGAAGAGAGAGGAAGAGGAGAAAAGAGGAGAGAAGGGAGAGAGAGAAAGAGAGAGAAGGAGAGAAGAAGGAGAACAAGAAGGAGAGAGAGAAGGAAAGAACAGAGAAGGAAGAGAGAGAGACAGAGAAGGGAGAGAGAAAGAAAGGGAAGAGGAGAAGAGAGAAGGGAGAAGAGGAAGGAGAGAGAGAGAGAAGAAGAGAGAGAGAGAGGAAGAGAAAGAGGAGAGAAAAAGGAGAAGAGGAGAGAGAGAGAGAGAGAAGAGAGGGGAGAGAAGAGAGAGAAGGAGAGAGAGATGAAGAGGAGAGAGAGAGGAGAGAGAGAGAGAGAAGACAAAAGAGAGAGAGGGAGAAGAGACAAAGGAAGAAAGAGAGAGGAAGGAGAGGAAGAAAGAGAGAGAAAGAGGGAGAGAGGAAGAAAAAAGAAGAAGAGAAAGGAGAGGAGAGAGGAGAAACGCACAGAGAAAGGAAGAGGAGGAGAGACAGAGAAGGAAAGCAGAGAGAGGACCAGAGAAAGGGGAGAGGAGGAGGAGAAAAGGGAAGAAAGGGGAGAGAGAGGAGAAGAGGAGGGAAAGGGGGGAAGAGGGAGAGAGAGAAGAAGGGGAAAGAGAAGAGAGAGAGGAGAAGGGGAGAGAGAAGAGAAGAGAGAGAAGGGAGAGAAGAGAGGAGAGAGAAGGGGAGGAAGGAGAGAGAGAAGAGAGGAAAGGGGGGGGGAGAGAGAGAGAGAGGAGACGGGAGAGAGAGAAGAGAGAAAGGGGGAGAGAGAGAGAGATGAGAGAGAAAAGGGGAGAGGAGGAGAGAGAAGAGAGAAGGGGAGAGAGAGGAGAGAGAGAAGGGGGAGAGAGAAAGGAGAGAAGAAGGAGGAGGAAAAAGGGGAGAGAAGAGGAGAGGGAGGAGAGGAGAAGGGTGAGAGAAGAGGAGGGAGAGAGAGAATAAGGGGGAAAGGAGAGAGAGAGAGAGAGAAAGGGGGAGAAGAGAGAGGAGGGAGAAGAGAAAGGGAAGAGAGAGAGAGAGAGAGAGAGAAAAAGGGGAGAAGGAGAGAGAGAAGGAAGAAGAGAGGAAAGGGGAGAAGAGAGAAACCAGAAAGAAGGAGAGAGAGAAGCGGACAGAGAAGGAAGAGAGGCGGGAGAGACAGATGATGAGAGAGAGAGAAGAGAGAGAGAGAGAGAAGAGATGAGAGACGAGAAGAGAGAGAGAGAGAGAGAGAAGAGAGAGAGAGAGAGAGAGAGAGAGAGAGGAAGAGAAGGGGAAGAGAGGAGAGGGAGAGGGGAGAAGAGAGGAAGAGAGAGAGAGAGAGAAAGGGGAGGAGAGAGAGAGAAGAAGGGGAGAGAGAGAGAGAGAAGAGAAGGGGGAGAGGAAGGAGGAGGGAGGGAGAGAAAGGGGAGAGAAGAAGAGGAGCGGAGAGGAGAGAGAAAGGGGAGAAGGGAGGAGAGGAGAGAAGAGAAAGGGGGAGAGAGAGAGAGAGAGAGAAGGGAGAGCGAGAGAGAGAGGAGAAAAGGGAGAAGAGGAGAGAGAGAGAAGGAAAAAAAAAAAAAAAAAAGAAGAGGGAAAAGGGGAGAGGAGGAGAGAAGAGAGAGAAAGGGAGAGAAGGAGAGAAGGAGAGAGGAAAAAAGGGGAAGAGAGAAGAGAGAGAGAGAGGAGAGGAGGAAGAAGGGGGGGAGAGGAGGGTAGGGGGGGAGAAGGGGAGGGAGAGAGAAGGGAGAAGGAGAGAGAGAGAAGGGGGAAGGGCGAGGATAAAAAAGGGAGGAGGAGAGAGAGAGAGAAAGGAGAAAGAATAAAAAAAAGGGGAGAAAGGAGAGAAGAAAGAGAGAGAGAGAGAAGGGGGGGGGAGAGAGGAGAGAGAGAGAGAGAAGAAGGGGAGGAGGAAAAGGAGAAGAGAGAGAAGAAGAGAAGAGGAGAGAGAGGGAGAGGGAGGAGAGAGGGATGGAGAGAAAGAAGAGAGAGGGAGGATGAGAGAGAGAGGAGAGAGAAGAGGAGAGGGATGAGGAAGAGAAGCGAGAAGGAGAGAGATGGAGAGGGAAAGGGGAGAGAGAGAGAAGAGGGGAAGAGGAGGAGAGAGAAAGGAGAGAGGATGGAGAGAGGGAAGAAAGGAAGAAAGGAAGAGAGAGAGAAAAGAAGAGAGGGAGGAGATGAGATGAGAAAAGCGGAAGAGAGGGGAGAGGAGATGAGAGGAGGAAGAGAGGGGAAAAAAAAAAGGGAGGGGGGGGGGGGAAATAGGGAGGAGGAAAGGAGGGGGATAGGGAAGAGAGAGAGGGGAGAGGGGGAGGAGAGAGGGAATAGTGAAGGGAGAGGAAAGAGAGAAGAGAAGGAGGGGAAGAGAGAGAGGGAAGAGGGGAAGAAAGGAGGAAGAAGAGAAGAGGGAGAGAGTGGGGGGGAGAAAAAAAAGGGGGAAAAGAGAGAGGGGGGAGAGGAAGAGGGGAAGAGGAGGAGAAGAGGGGAATGATAATGAGAGAGAGAGAGAGAGGAGAAGAAGGGGGTAGAAGGAAGAGGGAGAGAGGAGGGAAGAGAAGGAGAGGAGAGAGAGGGAAGAGGAGAGGGAGGGGGGAAGAGGAAGAGAGGGAGAGAAAGAGAGGAGAGGGAGGGAGGGGGGGAGAAAGGGGGGAGGGAGAGAGGAGGAAAAAGAAAGGAGAGGGAGGAGGAGAGAAGGAGGAGAGGAGGAGGAAAAAGAAGAGAAGAGGGAGAAAAAAAGGGAGGGAGAGAAGAAGAGGAAAGGAGGGGAGAGAAAATGGAAGAAGGAGAGAGAGAAATGGGGATGGGGAGAAGGAAAGAGGGAAGGAAAGGAAAGAAAGAGAGAAGAAGAGAGGGGAGAGAAGAGAAAGAGAGGGGAGAAGAGAAGAAGAGGAAAGAAAAGAGGGGGAAAGAGAAGAAGAGAGGGAAGATTAAGGAGGAGAAGGAGAGAAGGAGAGAAAGAGAGAGAGAGAAGAGAGGGGGAAGAGAGAAGGAAGAGAAGGTAGGAGAGGGGGAGAGAGGAGAAGAGGAGGAGGGGAAGGAAGGGAAGGGGAGAGGAGAGAAGGGGAGAGGGGGGGGCGGAAAGAGAGAAGAAAATGTAGAGAGAGCGAAAAGAGAGAGAGGAGGAGAAGAGGAAGGAAGAGAGAGAAGAGGAAGAGAAGAGAAGAAGAAGGGAAAGAGAGTGGAGAGGAGAAGAGAGAGGAGAGAGAAGAAGGAGAGAGAAGAGGGAATAAGGGGAGAAGAGAAGGAAAGAGGAGAGAAAAAAAGAGAAAAAAAGAAGGAAAAGAAGAAGAAAACAGATGAAAAGAAAAGGAGAAGGAGAGAGGGGGAGGGGAGAGGGAGGGGGGAGAGAGGGAGAGGTAGAAAGGGGCGGGGGGTAGGAGGGGGGGGGGGGAGAGGAGAGGGGAGAGAGAAGAGAGGAGAGTGGAGAGGGACGAGGGAGGGGAGGGAGAGAGGGAGGGAGGGAAGAGAAGGTGAGAGAAGAAGAACGAGGAGAAGAGGGGAGTAGAAGAAAAGGAGGAGGAGAGGAGAGAAAAAAAAAAAAAAAAAAAAAAAAAAAAAAAAAAAAAAAAAAAAAAAAAAAAAAAAAAAAAAAAAAATAAAAAAAAAAAAAAAAAAAAAAAAAAAAAAAAAAATAAGAAAAAAAGAAAAGAAGAGAGAGAGAAAAAAAAGAAAAAAAGATAGGAGGAGTGGGGAAGAAAAAAAAAAAAAAAAAGAGAGAAGGGAAGGAGGAGGAAGGAGGAAAGAGGGGGAAGAGAAAGAAAGGAGAGGAGAAGGAGAGAAGAAAGAAGGATGAGGGGGAGAGAGGGAGGGAGAGGGAGGAGGAGAGGAGAGGAGGGGAAAGGAAGAAGAGAGGAAGGAAGAGAGAGAGGGGGAGGGAGAGAGAGAAGGGGAGGAGAATAGAAGAAGGAGGAGGAGATAGAAGAGAGAGAGGAGGAGAGGAGAAAGAGTGGGAGAGAGAAGAAAATAAAAGGGATTATTAGAGAGAAGAGAGGAAAAAAAATAGGAGGGAGGCGGAAGAGAGAGAGAGAAGCGGGAAGAGAGGGAGGGAAGAAGGGCAGGGGAGAAAGAGAGGGGGGAGAGGGAGAGAAGAAAGAGAGAGAGAGGAGGGGAAAAAAGAGGGGGGGAGAAGAAGAGGGAAGAAGAGAGAGGAGGGGAAGGAGGGGAGGGGGGAGAGTAAGAAGGGGAGGGGGAGGGAGAGAGAAGAGGAGAGAAAAGAAGGAGGAGAGAGGAGAGAAAATGACCAGACGAGGAGAGAGAAAAAGAGGACAGCCACCAGAGAGAGGAGAAAAAGAGAGAAATGAGGGGAGAGAAGGAGAAGAAAAAAAAAAAGGAGAAAAGAGGAGAGGAGAGAAAAAAAAGGGAAAAAAAAAAAAAAAAAAAAAGAGAGAAGAGAAAAAAAAAAAAAAATTAAAAAAGAAGAGAAGAAAAAAAAGAGGGGGAGGAGAAAGAGAGAGGAAAATGAGGAAGGGAGAGAGAGGGGGAGGGAGAAGAGGAGAGAAAGGGATAAAAAAAAAAAGAGGAGAGAGAGGAGAAAAGAAAAGAGAGAAAAACA